ATTGGGAACAACTATCCTATTGGGAACACCCATATCCTATTGGGGATGCTCTTATCCCATTGGGGCACCCGTATCCCATTGGGGCACCCGTATCCTGTTGGGAACACTCATATCCCATTGGGAATACCCATATCCCCTTGGGACACCCATATCCCATTGGGGTACCCGTATCCCATTGGGGACACCCATATCCCATTGAGGCACGCATATCCCATTGGGACACCCATATCCCATTGGGAACACCCATATCCCATTGAGGCACCCATATCCCATTGGGAACACCCATATCCCATTGAGGCACGCATATCCCATTGGGACACCCATATCCCATTGGGAACACCCATATCCCATTGAGGCACCCATATCCCATTGGGAACACCCATATCCCATTGGGGCATCCGTATTCCATTGGAGCACCCATATCCCATTGGGAACACCCATATCCCATTGGGAACATTCATATCCCATTGGGGACCCCCATATCCCATTGGGGCATCCGTATCCCATTAGGGACACCCATATCCCATTGGGGGCACCCATATCCCATTGGGGCACCCGTATCCCATTGAGACACCTGTATCCCATTAGGAACACCCATATCCCATTGGGGGCACCCAGGACCTTGCCGTGCACTGGTTGCCCATCCCTGTATCCCATATCCCTGTATCCCATCCCTGTGTCCCATATCCCCGTCTCCTGCAGCTAGGATCTTGCCATGCACTGGTATCCCATTCCTGTATCCCTATATCCCTTATCCCTGTATCCCATATCCCTCTATCCCATATCCCTATATCGCATACCCCACATCCCATATCCCCATATTCCTATATCCCACATCTCATATCCCTATATCCCATATCCACACATCCCATATCTCTATATCCCATATCCCATATCCCCACACCCCACATCCCATATCTCACATCCCAAATCCCTATACCCCACATCCCATACCCCATATCCCTATATCCCATATCCCTGTACCCCACATCCCATATCCCCTATCCCACATCCCATATCCCGTATCCCTATACCCCATATCCCTATATCCCACATCCCATACCCCATATCCCATATCCCTATATCCCACATCCCATATCCCTATATCCCACATCCCATATCCCATATCCCTTTATCCCACATCCCATACCCCATATCCCATATCCCTATATCCCACATCCCATATCCCTATATCCCACATCCCATACCCCATATCCCTATATCCCACATCCCATACCCCACATCCCATATCCCTTTATCCCACATCCCATACCCCATATCCCAAATCCCTATACCCCACGTCCCATACCCCACATCCCATATCCCACATCCCACACCCCACATCACACATCCCATATCCCCACATCCCATAACCCACATCCCATATCCTCACATCCTATATCCGCATACCCCACATCCCATACCCCCACATCCCATACCCCACATCCTATATCCCCATATCCCATATCCCCATATCCCATATCCCCATATCCCACATCCCTATACCCCACATCCCACACCCCACATCCCATATCTCGCATCCCATATCCCTATACACCATATCCCACATCCTCCTATCCCACATCCCACACCCCATACCCCCACCGCACACCCCATCTCCCTGTATCCCACACCCCATATCCTCACACCCCATATCCCTGTATTCCACACCCCATACCCCCACCCCACACCCCATACCCCCATCCCACACCCCATCTCCCCATCCCACACCCCATCTCCCTGTATCCCACACCCCATCTCCCTGTATCCCACACCCCATCTCCCTGTATCCCACACCCCATCTCCCTGTATCCCACACCCCATCTCCCTGTATCCCACACCCCATATCCTCACACCCCATATCCCTGTATCCCACACCCCATATCCCATATCCTCACACCCCATCTCCCTGTATCCCACACCCCCTCTCCCTGTATCCCACACCCCATACCCCCATCCCACACCCCATATCCCATATCCTCACACCCCATCTCCCTGTATCCCACACCCCATCCCATCTCCCTGTATCCCACACCCCCTCTCCCTGTATCCCACACCCCATCTCCCCATCCCACACCCCCTCTCCCTGTATCCCACACCCCATACCCCCACCCCACACCCCATCTCCCTGTATCCCACACCCCACACCCCATACCCCACACCCCACCTCCCTGTACCCCACACCCCGTCTCCCTGCACCCCACAGCCAGGCCCTCTCCGTGCACTGGTTGGCCGAGCGCGCTGCCGAGCGCTTCCAGCAGACCTGTGGCTCCCGGCCCCGGCTCCTCCTGAGCCAGGATGGGGCCCGCTTGGAACCGCAGGACCTGGTCCGGGACGTCCTGCGCAGCAACGAGGAGGTGGGGGATAAGCGGGGGCACTGGGAGCATTGGGGACACTGGGGGCATTGGGAGCATCGGGGGCATTGGGGGCATCGGGGGCACTGGGGACATCAAGGTCACTGGGAGCATTGGGGGCACTGGGAGCACTGGGGGCATCAGAGGCATTGGGGTCACTGGGGGCATTGGGGGCACTGGGGACATCAAGGTCACTGGGAGCACTGGGGGCATCAGGAGCATTGGAGGCATCGGGGTCATTGAGACCATCGGGAGCATTGGGGGCACTGGGGGCATTGGGGGCATCGGGGGCATTGGGGGCACTGGGGACATCAAGGTCACTGGGAGCATTGGGAGCACTGGGGGCACTGGGAGCATCAGGAGCACTGGGGGCATTGGGGTCACTGGGAGCATTGGGAGCAGTGGGGGCTTCGGGGTCACTGGGGGCATTGGGGACATCAAGGTCACTGGGAGCATTGGGAACACTGGGGGCACTGGGAGCACCGGGAGCATCGGGGGCACTGGGGGCTTCGGGAGCACTGGGGGCACTGGGAGCATTGGGGGCACTGGGAGCATTGGGGGCTCTGGGAGCATTAGAAGCACTGGGGGCATTGGGGGCATCGGGGTCACTGGGAGCGTCAGGAGCACTGGGGGCACTGGGAGCATTAGGAGCATCAGGATCACTGGGAGCACCAGGGGCAATGGGAGCATCGGGAGCACTGAGGGTACTGGGGGCATTGGGAGCATCGGGAGCACTGGGGGCATTGGGGTCACTGGGGGCATTGGGAGCATTGGAGGCATTGGGGTTACTGGGAGCATTGGGGGCACTGGGGGCATTGGGAGCATTGGAGGCATTGGGGTCACTGGGAGCATCGGGGGCACTGGGGGCTTTGGGGACATCGGGGTCACTGGGAGCATTGGGGTCACGGGGGCATCAGGAACACTGGGAACCCGGGAAGCATTGGGAGCACTGGGGGCACTGGGATCACTGGGAACATGGAGCACTGGAAGCATTGGGAGCACTGGGGGCACTGGGATCACTGGGAACATGGAGCACTGGAAGCATCGGGAGCACTGGGGGCACTGGGATCACTGGGAACATGGAGCACTGGAAGCATCGGGAGCACTGGGGGCACTGGGATCACTGGGAACATGGAGCACTGGAAGCATCGGGAGCACTGGGGGCACTGGGATCACTGGGAACATGGAGCACTGGAAGCATCGGGAGCACTGGGGGCACTGGGATCACTGGGAACATGGAGCACTGGAAGCATCGGGAGCACTGGGGGCACTGGGATCGCTGGGAACATGGAGCACTGGAAGCATCGGGAGCACTGGGGGCACTGGGATCACTGGGAGCATGGAGCACTGGAAGCATCGGGAGCACTGGGGGCACTGGGATCACTGGGAACATGGAGCACTGGAAGCATCGGGAGCACTGGGGTACCAGGATCACTGGGAGCATCAGGAGCACTGGGGGCACCAGGAGCATCGGGGGCATTGGGAGCACTGGGAGCCTAGGGAACATTGGGAGCACCGGGGGCACTGGAAGCACCGGGAGCATCAGGAGCATTGGGGGCACTGGAAGCACTGGGAGCAGTGGGAGCACTGGGGGAGCACTGGGGGCATCAGGGGCATTGGGAACATCAGGGACTGTGCCAGGAGCACTGGGAGCATTGGGGGCATCGGAAGCACTGGGGGCATCGGGAGCGTCAGGGGCATTGGGAGCATGTGGGGCACTGGGAGCATCGGAAGCACTGGGAGCGCCGGGAGCATCAGGGGCATCAGAGGCACTGGGGGGGCATTGGGGGCACTGGGAGGACTGAGGGCACCAGGAGCATCGGGGTCACCTGGGGCACTGGGAGCATCAGGATCACTGGGAGCACCTGGATCACCAGGAGCATTGGGCGCACTGGGGGGCACTGGGAGCATTGGGAGCACCAGGGGTACTGGGAGCATCAGGGGCATTGGGGATACTGGGGGCATGGGGAGCCATGGGTGTACTGGGGGCACCGGGAGCAGTGGGAGCACTGGCGGCATCGGGAACATGGGGGGCACTGGGAGCATAGGGGGCACCGGGAGCATTGGGAACATTGGGGGCACTGGGAGCACTGGGGGCACCAGGAGCATCGGGAACACTGGGAGAATTGGGATCTCCGGGGGCACTGGGAGCATCGGGAGCACTGGGGACATCAGGAGCACTGGGGGCATCGGGAGCACTGGGGGCATCGGGAGCACTGGGAGCATTGGGAACACTGGGACCACTGGAAGCATCGGGAGCACTGCGGGCACCGGGATCACTGGGAACACGGAGCACTGGAAGCATCAGGAGCACTGGGGGCACTGGGAGCATTGGGGTCACTGGGATCCCCAGGAGCAGCACTGGGAGCACTGGGGACACTGGGAGCAGCACTGGGGTCACTGGGAGCAATGGGAGCAGCACTGGGAGCAGCACTGGGAGCACTGGGTACACTGGGAGCAGCACTGGGGTCACTGGGAGCACTGGGAGCAGCACTGGTGTCACTGGGAGCACTGGGGTCACTGGTGTCAGCACTGGTGTCACTGGTGTCACTGGTGCTGAGGTCGGGGTGCGCTCAGGTGGTGGCCGAGGTGCAGTGCTGGGAGCTGCCCCCCCTGGCCGAGCGCTACCGCCGCGTGTGCCGCAGCATGGATGTGGGTGAGGAGCATCCCATGGGGCCCGGACCCCCAACCGCGGCCCTGGGGGGGTCCCAAAGGGGATCGGGGGTCCCTGGGGTGAAGGGGGGGGGTACCCCCCAATGGCCCCCAATAGCCCCCAATAAGCCCCCCATGACCCCCAATACCCCCCAATGACCCCCAGTACCCCCCAATGACCCCCAATCCCCCCCCAATAGCCCGATACCCCCCAATCACCCCCAATCCCCCCCCAATGGCCCCCCAATAGCCCCTGCTACCCCCCAATACCCCCCAATGACCCCCAATACCGCCCCCAATGACCCCCAATACCCCCCAATGACCCCCAATACCCCCCACTGACCCCCAATCCCCCCCAATGGCCCCCCAATAGCCCCTGATACCCCCCAATGACCCCCAATACCCCCCACTGACCCCCAATGAGCCCCCCAATGACCCCCAATACCCCCCTCAATGGCCCCCCAATAGCCCCTGCTACCCCCCAATGACCCCCAATACCCCCCACTGACCCCCAATGAGCCCCCCAATGACCCCCAATCCCCCCTCAATGACCCCCCAATAGCCCCTGATACCCCCCAATGACCCCCAATACCCCCCAATGACCCCCAATACCCCCCCAATGACACCCCAATAGTCCCTGCTACCCCCCAATGACCCCCAATACCCCCCAATGACCCCCCAATAGCCCCTGCTACCCCCAATGATCCCCAATGACCCCCCAATAGCCCCTGCTACCCCCCAATGACCCCCAATACCCCCCAATGACCCCCAATCCCCCCCAATGACCCCCCAATAGCCCCTGCTACCCCCCAATGATCCCCAATGACTCCCCAATAGCCCCTGCTACCCCCCAATGACCCCCAATCCCCCCCCAATGACCCCCAATCCCCCCCAATGGCCCCCCAATAGCCCCTGCTAACCCCCATGACCCCCAATACCCCCCCACTGACCCCCCCCCCCAATGACCCCCAATCCCCCTCAATGACCCCCCAATAGCCCCTGCTACCCCCCAATGACCCCCAATACCCCCCAATGACCCCCAATCCCCCCCAATGGCCCCCCAATAGCCCCTGATACCCCCCAATGACCCCCAATACCCCCCAATGACCCCCAATACCCCCCAATGACCCCCAATCCCCCCCAATGACCCCCAAATAGCCCCTGCTACCCCCCAATGACGCCCAATACCCCCCAATGACCCCCAATACCCCCCCCCACTGACCCCCAATCCCCCCCCCAATGACCCCCCCCCATAACCCCCCCTCTTCATCCCCTCCCTCCCCATCCTCCAGAGCCCCACGAGCTGGTGCTGAAGGCGTTGGTGGGGCAGGAGCAGAGACCGGGGCTGGTGCTGGGGGGCAGCGGGGTTGGGGGGGGGGGTTCCCCAGCGCCTCCCCCCCCGGCGCTGCCGGCGCTGCTGCGGGCGCTGCGGCTGCAGCCGGGGCTGCGGGTGCTGGCGCTGCGCGGCTGCGGGCTGGGGGCGGCGGCGGCACCGGAGCTGGCGGCGGCGGCGGCGGCGTTGCCGGCATTGGCGCGTTTGGACCTGAGCGGGAACCGCTTGGGCCCGGCTGCGCTGCGGCTGCTGCGGCCCCCGCGCGGGAGAGACGGAGCCGGATTCCAGGTAGGGAGGGAGGGGAGCGAGGGGGGGGGCACGGGATGCAGCCTCGGCTTCCGCGGACATCAGCTTCATCCTCAGCTTCATCATCATCCTCATCTTCATCCTCATCTTCATCCTCATCTTCATCCGCGTCTTCATCCTCATCTTCATCCTCGTCTTCATCCTCAGCTTCAGCTTCATCTTCATCCTCTTCTTCATCTTCATCCTCGTCTTCATCTTCATCCTCAGATTCATCTTCATCATCATCCTCATCTTCATCCTCAGCTTCATCTTCATCCTCGTCTTCATCTTCATCCTCGTCTTCATCCTCTTCATCCTCAGCTTCATCCTCAGCTTCATCCTCAACTTCATCCTTGTCCTCATCCTCAGCTTCATCCTTGTCTTCATCCTCTTCATCCTCAGCTTCATCCTCAACTTCATCTTCATCCTCGTCTTCATCCTCATCCTCATCTTCATCGTCGTCTTCATCCTCATCTTCATCCTCGTCTTCATCCTCATCCTCATCTTCATCCTCGTCTTCATCCTTGTCTTCATCCTCATCCTCATCTTCATCCTCGTCTTCATCCTCATCTTCATCCTCGTCTTCATCCTCAGCTTCAGCTTCATCTTCATCCTCTTCTTCATCTTCATCCTCAGATTCATCTTCATCATCATCCTCATCTTCATCCTCAGCTTCAGCTTCATCTTCATCCTCGTCTTCATCTTCATCCTCGTCTTCATCCTCATCTTCATCCTCGTCTTCATCCTCAGCTTCAGCTTCATCTTCATCCTCTTCTTCATCTTCATCCTCAGATTCATCTTCATCATCATCCTCATCTTCATCCTCAGCTTCAGCTTCATCTTCATCCTCGTCTTCATCTTCATCCTCGTCTTCATCCTCATCTTCATCCTCGTCTTCATCCTCAGCTTCAGCTTCATCTTCATCCTCTTCTTCATCTTCATCCTCGTCTTCATCTTCATCCTCATCTTCATCCTCGTCTTCATCCTCGTCTTCATCCTCAGCTTCATCCTTGTCCTCATCCTCAGCTTCATCCTCGTCCTCATCCTCAGCTTCATCCTCATCTTCATCCTCATCTTCATCCTCGTCTTCATCCTCGTCTTCATCCTCATCTTTATCTTCATCCTCGTCTTCATCTTCATCCTCATCCTCGTCTTCATCCTCATCTTCATCCGCAACTTCATCCTCATCCTCGTCCTCATCTTCATCCTTGTCTTCATCTTCATCCTCGTCTTCATCCTCGTCTTCATCCTCATCTTCATCCTCGCCTCATCTTCATCCTCTTCATCCTCAGCTTCATCCCCAACTTCATCTTCATCCTCGTCTTCATCCTCGTCTTCATCCTCGTCTTCATCCTCATCCTCATCTTCATCCTCAGCTTCATCCTCAGCTTCATCCTCGTCTTCATCCTCGTCTTCATCCTCGTCTTCATCCTCGTCCTCATCTTCATCCTCGTCTTCATCCTCATCTTCATCCTCATCTTCATCCTCGTCTTCATCCTCATCTTCATCCTCTTCTTCATTCTCATCTTCATCCTCGTCTTCATCCTCGTCCTCGTCTTCATCCTCCTCTTCATCCTTCTCTTCACCCTCGTCTTCATCCTCATCTTCATCCTTATCTTCATCCTTATCTTCATCCTCGTCTTCATCCTCATCTTCATCCTTCCCCAGACCTCATCTTCATCGCCCTTAAACCTCATCTTCATCCCTCCCAAACCTCATCTTCATCCCTCCCAACCTCATCTTCATCCTCATCTTCATCCCCCCCAAACCTCATCTTCATCCTCATCTTCATCCCCCCCAAACCTCATCTTCATCCTCATCTTCATCCCTCCCAACCTCATCTTCATCCCTCCCAAACCTCATCTTCATCCTCATCTTCATCCCTCCCAACCTCATCTTCATCCCTCCCAACCTCATCTTCATCCTCATCTTCATCCCCCCCAAACCTCATCTTCACCCCCCCCAACCCCATCCTCATCCCCCTCAGTCCTCACCCCCGTCGCTGTCCCCGCAGAGCCTGGAGGAGCTGGACCTGAGCCTGAACCCGCTGGGTGACGGGAGCTGCGCGGCGCTGGCCGAGCTGCTGCGGTGCTGCCCGGCGCTGAGCACCCTGCGCCTGAGCGCCTGCGCCTTCGGGCCCGCCTTCACCCTCGACGGTAACCGTGAGCCACCGTAGCCACCGTTAACCACCACCATAACCACCATTAACCACCACCATAACCACCATAGCCACCATTAACCACCACCATAACCACCATAGCCACCACCATAACCACCATAGCCACCGTTAACCACCACCATAGCCACCGTTAACCACCACCATAACCACCGTTAACCACCACCATAGCCACCATAACCACCATAGCCACCACCATAACCACCATAGCCACCGTTAACCACCACCATAACCACCACCATAGCCACCACCATAACCACCATAGCCACCATTATCCACCACCATAACCACCATAACCACCACCATAACCACCATAGCCACCATTAACCACCACCATAACCACCATAGCCACCATTAACCACCACCATAACCACCATAGCCACCATTAACCACCACCATAACCACCATAGCCACCATTAACCACCACCATAACCACCATAGCCACCATTAACCACCACCATAACCACCATAGCCACCATAGCCACCACCATAATCACCATAGCCACCATTAACCACCACCATAACCACCATAGCCACCATTAACCACCACCATAACCACCATAGCCACCATTAACCACCATTAACCACCACCATAACCACCATAGCCACCATAGCCACCGTTAACCACCACCATAGCCACCATAGCCACCGTTAACCACCACCATAACCACCATAGCCACCATAACCATCATAGCCACCATTAACCACCACCATAACCACCATAGCCACCAATAACCACCACCATAGCCACCATAACCACCATTAACCACCACCATAACCACCATTAACCACCACCATAACCACCATTAACCACCACCATAACCACCATAGCCACCACCATAACCACCATAGCCACCGTTAACCACCACCATAACCACCATAGCCACCGTTAACCACCACCATAACCACCATAGCCACCACCATAACCACTATAGCCACCATTAACCACCACTATAACCACCATAGCCACCATAGCCACCATAACCGCCACCATAACCACCATAGCCACCGTTAACCACCACCATAACCACCATAGCCACCACCATAACCACTATAGCCACCATTAACCACCACTATAACCACCATAGCCACCATAGCCACCATAACCACCATAGCCACCATAACCGCCACCATAACCACCATAGCCACCATTAACCACCACCATAACCACCATTAACCACCATAACCACCATAACCACCACCATAACCACTATAGCTGCCACCATAACCACCATAACCACCCTAGCCACCATTAATCACCATAATCACCATAACCACCATAACCGCCACCATAACCACCATAACCATCATAGCCACCATAACCGCTACCATTAACCACCATGATCACCATAGCCACCACCATAACCGCCATAGCCACCACCATAGCCACCATTAACCACCATAACCACCACCATAGCCACACACTAACCACCATGAACCACCATAATAACCACCATTAACCACCATAGCCACCATAGCCACCACCGTAACCACCATGAACCACCATAATAACCACCATTAACCACCATAGCCACCATAACCATAATCACCCCCATAACCACCATGAACCACCATAATAACCAGCATAACCACCACCATAAACACCATGAACCACCAAAATAACCACCGTAACCAGCACCATAACCAGCATAGGCACCATAACCACCACCATAGCCACCATAAACCACCACCACTATCACCCCCATCCCATCACCATAACCACTAGCATCATCACCATCACATCACCATTGCTCTTATCGGTAACCACCACCACCATCATCGCCACCTTCACCATAACCACCACCATCATCATCACCATTGCTCTTATCGGTAACCACCACCACCATCATCGCCACCTTCACCATAACCACCACCATCATCATCACCATTGCTCTCACTGATAACAACCGCCACCACCATCATCACCCCCATCACCATAACCACCACCATCGTCATCACATCACCGTTGCTCTCATTGGTAACCACCACCACCATCATCACCCCCATCACCATAACCATCACCATCACATCACCATTGCTCTTACTGGTAACCACCACCAGCATCATCACCACCATAACCACCACCACCATCATCACCATCACATCCCCATTGCTCTCATTGGTAACCACCACCACCACCATCACCATCACATCCCCACCACCATCATCATCACCATCACATCCCCATTGCTCTCATTGGTAACCATCACCACCATCACCCCCATCACCATAACCACCACCACCATCATCACCATCTCATCCCCATTGCTCTCATTGGTAACCATCATCACCACCATCATCACCATCACATCCCCATTGCTCTCATTGGTAACCATCATCACCACCATCACCATAGCCACCACCATCATCATCACCATTGCTCTTACTGGTACCACCACCACCATCATCACCCCCATCACCATAACCACTGTCACCATCACATCCCCATTGCTCTCATTGGTAACCATCATCACCACCATCACCATAGCCACCACCATCATCATCACCATTGCTCTTACTGGTAACCACCACCACCATCATCACCCCCATCACCATAACCACTGTCACCATCACATCCCCATTGCTCTCATTGGTAACCATCACCACCATCATCACCACCATCCCATGACCGTAACCAGTAGCATCACCACTATCATCACCATCACATCCCCATTGCTCTCATTGGTAACCATCACCACCATCATCACCCCCATCACCATAACCACCATCATCACCATCACATCCCCATTGCTCTCATTGGTAACCACCACCATCATCACCACCACCATCCCATGACCATAACCATCACCCCCATCATCCATCACATCCCCATTGCTCTCATTGGTAACCATCACCACCACCATCCCATGACCGTAACCATCACCCCCATCCCATCCCCACCACGCCCCCCACCCTCACCCCCCATTGCCCCCCCCCCCGCTCTGACCCCCCCATCCCGCAGGTGCCCCTCGCCTGCAGGTGCTCTCCGTGTCCCACAATGCCCTGGGGCTGCCGGCGCTGGAGCGGCTCCTGAGCACCGCGGCCCGGCACCGCCTCACGAGCCTGCAGCTCGGCTCCGTCACTGGCACCATCGGCACCACCGGTAACACCGGTACCATCGGCACCACCGGTACCACCAGGACCACCGGTAACACCGGTACCATCGGCACCACCGGTACCACCAGGACCACCGGCACCATCGGTACCATCGGCACCACCGGTACCACCAGGACCACCGGTACCATCGGCACCACCGGTACCACCAGGACCACCGGCACCATCAGTACCACCGGTACCATCGGCACCACCGGTACCACCAGGACCACCGAGACTATCGGTACCACCGGCATCGGCAGAGCCATCGGAGCCTTCCTGCGGCAGGTGGGGGATGGAGGGGATGGGGGAGGGGGACGAGGGATGGGGGAGGGGGACATGGGATAAATGAGGATATGGGATGGGGGAGGGGGACATGGGATGGGGGAGATAGGATGGATGGAGACATGGGATGGGGGAGGGGGATATGGGATAAATGAGGATATGGGATGGGGGAGGGGGACTTGGGATGGGGGAGGGGGACATGGGATGAGGAAGGGGATATGGGATAAATGAGGACATGGGATGGGTGATGGAGACAGGCAATGGGTGAGGACACAGGATGGGTGCTGGGTGCAGAGCACACCAGATGGGTGCTGGGTGCAGAACACACCGGATGGGTGCTGGGTGCTGGGTGCAGAACACACCGGATGGGTGCTGGGTGCAGAACACACCGGATGGGTGCTGGGTGCTGGGTGCAGAACACACCGGATGGGTGCTGGGTGCAGCGCACACCGGATGGGTGCTGGGTGCAGAACACACCGGATGGGTGCTGGGCGCAGGGGACACAGGATGGGTACTGGGTGCAGAGCACACAGGATAGGTGCTGGGCGCTGAGGACACAGGATGGGTGCTGGGTGCAGAGCACACCGGATGGGTGCTGGGCGCAGGGGACACAGGATGGGTACTGGGCGCAGGGGACACAGGATGGGTACTGGGTGCAGCGCACACCGGATGGGTGCTGGGTGCAGAGCACACCGGATGGGTGCTGGGTGCAGAACACACCGGATGGGTGCTGGGTGCAGAGCACACCGGATGGGTGCTGGGTGCAGAGCACACAGGATGGGTGCTGGGTGCAGAGCACACCGGATGGGTGCTGGGTGCAGGGGACACAGGATGGGTGCTGGGTGCAGAGCACACAGGATGGGTGCTGGGTGCAGAGCACACCGGATGGGTGCTGGGTGCAGAACACACCGGATGGGTGCTGGGTGCAGAACACACCGGATGGGTGCTGGGTGCAGAGCACACCGGATGGGTGCTGGGTGCTGGGTGCAGAGCACACCGGATGGGTGCTGGGTGCAGAGCACACCGGATGGGTGCTGGGTGCAGGGGACACAGGATGGGTGCTGGGTGCAGAGCACACCGGATGGGTGCTGGGTGCTGGGCGCAGAGCACACCGGATGGGTGCTGGGTGCAGAACACACCGGATGGGTGCTGGGTGCAGAGCACACCGGATGGGTGCTGGGTGCAGAGCACACAGGATGGGTGCTGGGTGCAGAACACACCGGATGGGTGCTGGGTGCAGAACACACCGGATGGGTGCTGGGTGCTGGGTGCAGAGCACACCGGATGGGTGCTGGGTGCAGAGCACACCGGATGGGTGCTGGGTGCAGAACACACCGGATGGGTGCTGGGTGCAGAGCACACTGGATGGGTGCTGGGTGCAGAGCACACTGGATGGGTGCTGGGTGCAGAGCACAACGGATGGGTGCTGGTTGCAGAGCACACAGGATGGGTGCTGGGTGCAGAGCACACAGGATGGGTGCTGGGTGCAGAGCACACCGGATGGGTGCTGGGCACAGAGCACACCGGATGGGTGCTGGGTGCAGAGCACACCGGATGGGTGCTGGGTGCAGGGGACACCGGATGGGTGCTGGGTGCAGAGCACGCCGGATGGGTGCTGGGTGCTGGGTGCAGGGCACACCGGATGGGTGCTGGGTGCAGAGCACGCCGGATGGGTGCTGGGTGCAGAGCATACAGGATGGGTGCTGGGTGCAGCACACACCGGATGGGTGCTGGGTGCTGGGTGCAGAGCACACGGGATGGGTGCTGGGTGCTGGGTGATGGGTGCTGGGTGCAGAGCACACCGGATGGGTGCTGGGTGCAGAGCACACCGGATGGGTGCTGGGTGCTGGGTGCAGAGCACACCGGATGGGTGCTGGGTGCTGGGTGCAGAGCACACCGGATGGGTGCTGGGTGCAGAGCACACCGGATGGGTGCTGGGTGCAGAGCACACCGGATGGGTGCTGGGTGGGCACACAGGATGGGTGCTGGGTGCAGCACACACCGGATGGGTGCTGGGTGCTGGGCGCAGAACACACCGGATGGGTGCTGGGTGCTGGCACCCCACCGATCCCCACGTGCCCCATAGGAGGGCTCCTCGGCTCTGAGCCACCTGGCGCTGCCTGGGAACAGCCTGAGCGATGGGGACGTGGCCGAGCTGGCGCGGTGAGGGGGCAATGGGGGGCAATGGGGGGCATGGGGGGCAATGGGGGGCATGGGGGCAATGGGGACCATGGGGGGCATGGGGGCAATGGGGGGCATGGGGCAATGGGGACCATGGGGGGCAATGGGGACCATGGGGGGCATGGGGGCAATGGGGACCATGGGGGGCAATGGGGACCATGGGGGGCAATGGGGGGCATGGGGGGCAATGGGGACCATGGGGGGCATGGGGACCATGGGGACCATGGGGGGCAATGGGGGGCATGGGGGCAATGGGGGGCATGGGGGGCATGGGGGCAATGGGGGCATGGGGGGCAATGGGGTTCATGGGGTCAGTGGAGGCCATGGGGGGTCATGGGGAGTGAGGGGGCAATGGGGACCATGGGGGGCAATGGGGTTCATGGGGTCAGTGGAGGCCATGGGGGCAATGGGGACCATGGGGAGCAATGGGGACCATGGGGGCAATGGGGTTCATGGGGTCAGTGGAGGCCATGGGGGGCAATGGGGAGCAATGGGGACCATTGGGGCAATGGGGGGCAATGGGGTTCATGGGGCCAGTGGGGGCCATGGGGGGGGGAATGTTTCCCTGCTCCCCATTGGAGACCCCATCCCGTGGGAACAGCAGGGCTGGAGCAGCCCCCCTATGGGACCCCCCTAGGGCCATTGGGGGGTGCAGGATGGGGGGGGGTGTCCCGGTGTTCCCAGCGCTCCCCAATGGAGCCCAATTGGGTGCCCCCCCCCCCAGGTGCCTCCCCCTGTGCCCGGCTCTGGATTCCCTGGATCTTGCGGCCAATCCCGGGATCGGCCCCACAGGAATGGGGCTGCTGCTGGGGGCCCTGGAAGAGCGGAGCCGGGGGCTGAGCCTGCTGAGCCTGGCGGGTGGGGATGAATGGGGTGGGGTGGGGATGAATGGGGTGGGGTGGGGATGAATGGGGTGGGGTGGGGATGAATGGGGTGGGAATGAATGGGGTGGGGATGGGGATGAATGGGGTGGGGTGGGGATGAATGGGGTGGGGTGGGGATGAATGGGGTGGGGATGAATGGGGTGGGGATGAATGGGGTGGGGATGAATGGGGTGGGGATGGGGATAAATGGGGTGGGGATGAATGGGGTGGGGTGGGGTGGGGATGAATGGGGTGGGATGGGGATGAATGGGGTGGGGATGAATGGGGTGGGGAGGGGATGAATGGGGTGGGATGGGGATGAATGGGGTGGGAATGGGGATGAATGGGGTGGGATGGGGATGAATGGGGTGGGAATGAATGGGGTGGGGATGAATGGGGTGGGGTGGGGATGAATGGGGGGGGATGGGGATGAATGGGGGGGATGAATGGGGGGGATGGGGATGAATGGGGTGGGATGAATGGGGAGGGATGGGGGGAATGAATGGGGTGGGGATGGGGATGAATGGGATGGGGTGGGGATGAATGGGGTGGGGATGAATGGGGTGGGATGGGGATGGGGTGGGGTGGGATGGGGATGAATGGGGTGGGGATGAATGGGATGGGGTGGGGATGAATGGGGTGGGAATGGGGAGGGAATGGGGATGGAGCGGGAATGGAGATGAATGGGGTGGGGTGGGAAGGGGGATGGGGATGAATGGGGTGGGGATGGGGATGGGGTGGGAAGGGGGAGGGAATGGGGTGGGGATGGAGCAAGAATGGGAATGGGGTGGGAATGGGGATGGGGAGAGAATGGGAATGGGGTGGGAAGGAGGATGGGGATGGGGAGGGAATGGGAATGGAGCGAGAATGGGAATGGGGTGGGAAGGGGGATTGGGTGGGAATGGGAATGGGGTGGGAGTGGGATGCGAAGGGAAATGGGGTGGGAAGGAGGATGAGTTAGGAATAGGGATGGGATGGGGATTGGGGTGGGAATGGGATGGGAAGGGGAATGGGAATGGGGTGGGAAAGGGAAGAGGGTGGGAAGAGGGTGGGAAGGGGAATGGAGCAAGAATGGGAATGGGGTGGGAATAGGCATGGGATGGGGAATGGGAATGGGGTGGGAAAGGGAATGGGATGGGAAGGGGAATGGGGATGGGGTGGGAATGGGAATAGGGTGGGAAGAGGGTGGGAAGGGGAATGGAGCAAGAATGGGAATGGGGATGTGATGGGAAGGGGAATGGGGTGAGAAGGGGAATGGGAATGGGGATGGGAACAGGGTGGGGATGGGAATGGGGTGGGAACAGGAATGGAGTGGAAACGGGGTGGGAATGGGAATGAAGCAGGAATGGGGATGGGAATAGGGTGGGAATGGGAATGGGATGGGAATGGGTTTGATGGGATGGAGCAGATACAGGATGGGATGGATGGAATTGGATGGGATGGGGCTGAGTATGGGGATGGAGATGGAACAGAATTGGGATTGGGATGGGGAGGAGGATGGAATGAAGTAGGTTGGGAACGGGATGGGGATGAGGGTGGGATCAGATGGAAATGGGGGTGGGTTGAGGATGGGAATGGAAATAGAACTGAATTGGGATTGAGATAGGATGGGGATGGAATGGGGTAGGTTGGGAATGGGGATTGGATGGATGGGATTAGATGGGGATGGATATAGGACTGAATTGGGATGGAGATAGGATTGGGATGGGGATGGAATTGGGGTAGGTTGGGAATGGGGAAGGGATTAAATGGGGATGGGATGGGCTTGAGGATGTGGACAGAGATGGATGGGACCGGGATGGGGTTGAGGCTGGAATGGGATTCGATAGGGATGGGATGGGATGGAGCAGGGATGCAGGCAGGACCCAAGGGCATCTCCCCCTCCCTTGCAGGCTGCTCCGTGCGGGCCCCATTGGACGATCCCAACTGGTCCAGGGCCCTGGGCCTGATCCGGGACCTGCGCCTGTGCGGCCGGAGCATCGCCCATCCCGATCCCAAGGGCGCATCCCAATCCCGACCCCTTCCCACCGGGAGCCTCGCGCGGCACCGGAAACTCCTCTGGAAGAGCCCCTGATGGGGGGTTTATCCCTTAGATCCCCCCCCCATATCCCGTTCCGTCACCCATCCCGGTGTCCGTTGCTTTCTGGAGCTCCTGGTGTCACCAGGGAATCCTTTATTGGTCCCAGTGGGGAACTGGGATGGAACCAGGATGGATCCTGGATGGAGTTGGGATGGAGCCGGGATGGAACCAGGATGGATCCTGGACAGAGTTGGGATGGAGCCAGGATGGATCCTGGGTGGAGTTGGGATGGAGCCAGGATTGAGCTGGGATAGAACCAGGTTGGAGCCAGGATGGATCCTGGATGGAGCTGGGATGGAACCAGGATGGAGTTGGGATGGAGCCGGGATGGAACCAGGATGAATCCTGGATGGAGCTGGGATGGAACCAGGATGGAGTTGGGATGGAGCCAGGATGGAGCTCGGATTGAACTGGGATGGAGCCAGGAAGGAACCAGGGATGGAGTTGGGATGGATCCTGGATGAAGCCGGGATGGAGCCGGGATAGATCCTGGATGGAGCTGGGATGGAACCAGGATGGAACCAGCATGGAGCCAGGATGGAGCCGGGATAGATCCTGGATGGATCCGGGATTGGGCTCAGGAGTGCAGGAAGCGGTTGAAGGCGTTGTAGGCCGATTCCAGGTCAAAGAGCATCTGCCGGACCTGGGAATCATCCAGCTCATCCGAGGCTGACATCCCGCTGAGCGTCTGGAGCCTGGGAAGAGCCACGGATCCATCACCGGGATCCAGGATCCCCATCCCTGAGCCCAGGTCCGTGGGGCTGGGGGCTCACCATTGGTTCACTTTCTGCCTGCCCTCGAAGTCGGGGGGCAGGTGGCTCATGCGGTTCATGGTCTCCATCAGTTCCCGCAGGTCCGGCTGGATCTGGGAAAAGGAAAGGTGGGGTGGGGAGGGATCCAATGGGAAAAGCATTGGGAATGGGGGGGGGGATGGATCCTACCTCGTCCATGGCTCGGATCTCCAGGCGGAGCTTGTCCATCACGGTGATGAAGAGCTGCAAGGGGAAGGGCTTGGGGCCACTGGGAGACGGCTCGATCCCATCCAAATCCCATCTGAATCCCATCCAAATCCCACCCAAATTCCATCCAAATCCCATCATTCCCACCCAAATTCCATCCAAATCCCATCATTCCCACCCAAATTCCATCTGAATCCCATCATTCCCACCCAAATCCCATCATTCCCACCCAAATCCCACCCAAATCCCATCATTCCCACCCAAATCCCATCATTCCCATCCAAATCCCACCATTCCCACCCAAATCCCATCTGAATCCCACCATTCCCACCCAAATCCCATCATTCCCATCCAAATCCCACCCAAATCCCACCATTCCCACCCAAATCCCATCCGAATCCCACCATTCCCACCCAAATCCCACCATTCCCACCCAAATCCCACCATTCCCACCCAAATCCCACCATTCCCACCCAAATCCCATCATTCCCATCCCACCCAAATCCCATCCTTCCCATCCAAATCCCACCCAAATCCCCCCATTCCCCCCCAAATCCCATCATTCCCACCCAAATCCCCCCATTCCCACCCAAATCCCACCATTACCACCCAAATCCCATCCAAATCCCCCCATTCCCATCCAAATCCCACCATTCCCACCCAATTCCCATCATTCCCATCCAAATCCCATCCAAATCCCATCCAATTCCCCCCATTCCCACCCAAATCCCACCATTCCCATCCAAATCCCACCATTCCCATCCAAATCCCCCCATTCCCCCCCAAATCCCCCCATTCCCACCCAAATCCCATCATTTCCCCCCCCGCCCCGGTGCCCTACGGAGACGATGTCGGCGATGCAGCGGTTGAGGTTGCCCTTGTCATCCTTGATGGTGATTGGCCGGTCCTCCTTGATGCGCTCCATGGCCAATGGGCAGTCGAGCTTGGAGGGGGGTGGAGAAGCCACCGTGAGTGACACAACGGTGGCACCGGTGTTACCGGTTGTTACTGTTGTTACCGGTTGTTATTGGTTGTTACTGGTGTTAGAGTTGTCACCGGTTGACACTGGTTGTCACCCTTGTTACCGGTTGTTATTGGTTGTTACCAGTTGTTATTGGCTGTAACCGGTTGTCACCAGTTGTCACCCTTGTTACCGGTGGTTATTGGTTGTTACCATTTGTTATTGGTTGTTACTGGTGTTACAGTTGTCACTGGTTGTTACCGGTTGTCACCCTTGTTACCAGTTGTTATTGGTTGTTACCGGTTGTCACTGGTTGTCACTCTTGTTACTGGTTGTTCTTGGTTGTTACTGGTGATACAGTTCTCACTGGTTGTTACCGGTTGTTACTGGTTGTCACCAGTTGGCACCCTTGTTACCGGTTGTTATTGGTTGTTACTGGTGTTAGAGTTGTCACCGGTTGTTACCGGTTGTCACCCTTGTTACCCATTGTTATTGGTTGTTACCGGTTGTTATTGGTGTTACAGTTGTCACTGGTTGTCATCCTTGTTACCAGTTTTTATTGGTAGTTATTGGTTGTTACTGGTTGTTACCGGTTGTTACTGGTTGTCACCGGCCGTCCCCCTTGTTACCAGTTGTTATTGGTTGTTACCGGTTGTCACCAGTTGTTACCGGTTGTTATTGGTTGTTACTGGTTGTTACCGGTTGTCACCCTTGTCACCAGTTGTTACCGGCTGTTACCAGTTGTCACCCTTGTCACCGGTTGTTACCGGTTGTTACTGGTTGTCACCGGTTGTCACCCTTGTTACCGGTTGTCCCCGGTTGTTATTGGTCGTTACTGGTCGTCACCCTTGTTACCGGTTGTCACCGGTCATTACCGGTTGTCACTGGTTGTTATTGGTTGTTACTGGTTGTTACCGGTTGTTACCAGTCATCCCCCTTGTTACCGGTTGTTACTGGTTGTCACCGGTTGTCCCCCTGGTTACCGGTTGTCCCCGGTTGTCCCCCTCGTTACCAGTTGTCACCCTTGTCACCAGTCGTTACCGGTTGTCACCGGTTGTTAGTGGTTGTTATTGGTTGTTACCGGTCATCCCCCTCGTTACCGGTTGTTATTGGTCGTTACCGGTTGTCCCCCTTGTTACCAGTTGTTACTGGTCGTTACCGGTTGTTATTGGTCGTTGCCGGTTGTCCCCCTCATTACTGGTTGTTATTGGTCGTTACCGGTTGTCACCGGTTGTTACTGGTCGTTACCGGTCATCCCCCTCGTTACCGGTTGTTATTGGTCGTTACCAGTTGTCCCCCTCGTTACCGGTTGTTATTGGTCGTTACCGGTTGTCCCCCTCGTTACCGGTTGTTATTGGTCGTTACCGGTTGTCCCCCTCGTTACCGGTTGTTATTGGTCGTTACTGGTTGTCACCGGTTGTTATTGGGCGTTACCGGTTGTCCCCCTTGTTACCGGTTGTTATTGGTCGTTACCGGTTGTCACCGGTTGTTATTGGTTGTTACCAGTTGTCCCCCTCGTTACCAGTTGTTATTGGTCGTTACCGGTTGTCCCCCTTGTCACTGGTCGTTACCGGTTGTCACCGGTTGTTATTGGTTGTTACCGGTTGTCACCGGTTGTTATTGGTCGTTACCGGTTGTCCCCCTTGTTACCGGTTGTCACCGGTTGTTATTGGTTGTTACCGGTTGTCACCGGTTGTCCCCGGCTCACCCGGAACTTGCGGCAGAAGTCATCGATGGAGCTGATCTCGTTCCCTTGCACCTGCTTGAGGGCAGCTTTGAACTGCACCAGGAGGCGCGAGCAGGCGGCCGTGTACCTGTGGGGAGGAGCGGGGGGCACGCATGGGGGTCCCTAGCACCATCCCCCCTTCCCTACCACCGCTATGGGGCCGCTATGGGGCCGGGGACCCCCGGGCTTACTCGTTGGGGGTGACGCAGTCCTTGATGTAGGCCTTCTCCAGGGCCTGCAGCGTCTTGACCACGGCGAAGAGCTCGGCCATGTTGTCGTACCTGCAACGGCAGTGGGGCCGTGGGGCTGTGGGGCAGGGCATGGAGAAATGGGGGGAGAAGGGACCAGGGTGGAGGTGAAGCAATGATGGGCAATGGGGTCCTCGGAGGGAGAGCGATGGAGAATGGTGCCCCCAGGGAGGAGGTAGGGATGGGGAACAGGAGGGTGGGAGGGAGGAGATGGGAGCGGGAGGGAGGAGAAGGGACCAGGATGGAGAGGAGGGGACCAGGATGGAGAGGAGGGGACCAGGATGGAGAGGAGGGGACCAGGATGGAGGAGAAGGGACCAGGATGGAGAGGAGGGGACCAGGATGGAGAGGAGGGGACCAGGATGGAGGAGAAGGGACCAGGATGGAGAAGATGGGACCAGGATGGAGAAGATGGGACCAGGATGAAGAGGAGGGGACCAGGATGGAGGAGATGGGACCAGGATGGAGGAGAAGGGACCAGGATGGAGAGGAGGGGACCAGGATGGAGAGGAGGGGACCAGGATGGAGGAGATGGGAGCGGGAGGGAGGAGATGGGACCAGGATGGAGAAGATGGGACCAGGATGGAGAGGAGGGGACCAGGATGGAGGAGATGGGACCAGGATGGAGGAGAAGGGACCAGGATGGAGAGGAAGGGACCAGGATGGAGGAGAAGGGACCAGGATGGAGGAGAAGGGACCAGGATGGAGAGGAGGGGACCAGGATGGAGGAGAAGGGACCAGGATGGAGAGGAGGGGACCAGGATGGAGAGGAAGGGACCAGGATGGAGGAGAAGGGACCAGGATGGAGAGGAGGGGACCAGGATGGAGGAGAAGGGATCAGGATGGAGGAGAAGGGACCAGGATGGAGAGGAAGGGACCAGGATGGAGGAGAAGGGACCAGGATGGAGAGGAGGGGACCAGGATGGAGAGGAAGGGACCAGGATGGAGGAGAAGGGACCAGGATGGAGAGGAGGGGACCAGGATGGAGGAGAAGGGACCAGGATGGAGAAGATGGGATCAGGATGGAGAGGATGGGACCAGGATGGAGGAGATGGGACCAGGATGGAGAGGATAGGACCAGGATGGAGAGGATAGGACCAGGATGGAGAAGATGGGACCAGGATGGAGGAGAAGGGACCAGGATGGAGGAGAAGGGACCAGGATGGAGGAGAAGGGACCAGGATGGAGGAGAAGGGACCAGGATGGAGAGCAAGGGACCAGGATGGAGAAAAGGAGACAGCAATGGAGAGCAGGGCCTCAGGAGAGACCATGATGGACAATGGGGTCCAAGGATGGTCCAGGATGGACAATGGGGTCCTAGGATGGTCCAGGATGGACAATGGGGTCCTGGATGGTCCAGGATGGACAATGGGGTCCTGGATGGTCCAGGATGGACAATGGGGTCCGAGGATGGTCCAGGATGGACAATGGGGTCCTGGATGGTCCAGGATGGACAATGGGGTCCAGGAAGGACCAGGATGGACAATGGGGTCCTGGATGGTCCAGGATGGACAATGGGGTCCTGGGATGGTCCAGGATGGACAATGGGGTCCTGGATGGTCCAGGATGGACAATGGGGTCCTGGGATGGTCCAGGATGGACAATGGGGTCCTGGATGGTCCAGGATGGACAAAGGGGTCCTGGATGGTCCAGGATGGACAATGGGGTCCAGGAAGGACCAGGATGGACAATGGGGTCCAGGAAGGACCAGGATGGACAATGGGGTCCAGGATGGTCCAGGATGGACAAAGGGGTCCTGGATGGTCCAGGATGGACAATGGGGTCCTAGGATGGTCCAGGATGGACAATGGGGTCCAGGAAGGACCAGGATGGACAATGGGGTCCAGGAAGGACCAGGATGGACAATGGGGTCCAGGAAGGACCAGGATGGACAATGGGGTCCAGGATGGTCCGTGATGGACAATGGGGTCCAGGAAGGACCAGGATGGAGCAGATGGGACCCCAATGGACACCGGGGTCCCCATTCCCGCTGTGGCCGCTGCCTCCTCTCCAGGATCATTCCCATTCCCCCACACGGATCCGGACTCACTTCTCCCGCTCCCGGGCGTTCTTGTAGAGCTTCACCTCCTGTGGGACACAGGGATGGGAGATGGGACATGGGGATGGGATATGGGGATACAGGGATGGGATATGGGATATGGGACACAGGGATGGGATATGGGGATACAGGGATGGGATATGGGGATACAGGGATGGGATATGGGGACACAGGGATGGGATATGGGGATACAGGGATGGGATATGGGGACGCAGGGATGGGATATGGGGATACAGGGATGGGATATGGGGATACAGGGATGGGATATGGGACATAGGATACGGGGATGGGATATGGGGATACAGGGACGGGAGATGGGATATGGGGACACAGGGATGGGATATGGGACATGGGGATACAGGGATGGGATATGGGATATGGGGATAAGGGGATGGGATATGGGGACACAGGGATGGGATATGGAATATGGGGATACGGGGATGGGATATGGGACATGGGGACACAGGGATGGGATATGGGGACACAGGGATGGGATATGGGGATACAGGAATGGGATATGGGGATACAGGGATGGGATATGGGACATGGGGACACAGGGATGGGATATGGGGACACAGGGATGGGATATGGGGACACAGGGATGGGAGATGGGACATGGAGACACAGGGATGGGATATGGGGATACAGGGATGGGATATGGGACATGGGGACACAGGGATGGGATATGGGGACACAGGGATGGGATATGGGATATGGGGATACAGGAATGGGATATGGGACATGGAGACACAGGGATGGGACATGGGGATACAGGAATGGGATATGGGGATACAGGGATGGGACATGGGGATACAGGGATGGGATATGGGATATGGGACACAGGGATGGGATATGGGGACACAGGGATGGGATATGGGGACACAGGGATGGGATATCGGGACACAGGGATGGGATATGGGATATGGGACACAGGGATGGGATATGGGGACACAGGAATGGGATATGGGGACACAGGGATGGGATATCGGGACACAGGGATGAGATATCGGGACACGGATGGGATATGGGATATGGGACACAGGGATGGGACATGGGGATACAGGGATGAGA